GTGCCCCCTGTAAAGGAGTCAGGGATCTCAACACACAGTGAGGGGCCAAATGGCTCAGGGAGTAGCTGGGCCGTTCCTAGCCCTACAGAGAGAGCAGAAGCCCTGCTGGGCACGGGGCTGCCTTGGGAGGGGGATAGAGGGATTCGGTGCGTGTGTGAACCGGAGCAAGGAAATGCAGCCACCTGTGCCCTGGAGATCCCTGGGGGAGGGGATCAAACTACCCCCTATGAATCTCCTTCCAGTGAGGGGCTGTGGGGGGTGACAGTCTCTCCTGTGGGGTTTGGGGCAGGGGCCAATCCCCCAGAAATCTACGGGGCCAGGGAAGAGCCCTGAGCCGAAGCTGTCCGGGGCTTCCCGCTACATCAGCGCCGCTGCCCCTCGGGTATCAGGAGCCTCACCCAGCGAGATCAGAGTCTGGTAATTCTCCTGCATGACGTCCCTGTAGAGCTGCCTCTGCCCTTCGTCCAGGAGCCCCCACTCCTCCCGGGAGAAATACACGGCCACCTCCTCGAACCCCACCGGCGCCTGGAACCAGAAGGGACCCCGCTCAGCACCTGCCGCTCCAGCCACGGCCCCCAGCGCTGGCTCAGAGGGCGGGCAGCGAGGGGCACCGCTGGGAGAGCCCCAAGGGGGAGTGTGTGCAGCAGGAGCCAGGGGGAAGGTGCAGTGATCACTGTCCGATCGCACATCCCGCTGCGCATCTCACCTGGTAGCCAGCCGCAGCGACCACCAGCTCCAGTGCCGGGCCGCTCCCCTCCTCGCCCAGGGCAGGCCGATCTGTGGGGAGGACAGGGAGGTCAGAGGCCAGGGCACAGCCCCACGGGGATGTGTGTATGGCCCCCTATGGAGCTAACCGCTCTGCTGGAGATCCGTGGCTGGCACAACGTCCAGAGGGCCCTGCTGGGGTCATGCTCATCCTAGGGCACCTGGGCAGCTGCTGGGATCGCCAGCCCCCTTGGCACAGCTCCCAGCCCCACGGAGCCACCTCTCTGCTGCTCCCCCGGGATCTGGGGCGTGTGAACCCCGCTGGCAGCCTCCGGGGCACGAGACACAAACACTCGCTGAGTCTGTTGCAGCCACACACCCGGAGCCCAGCTCCGGAGCTCCAGCAACTCCGGATTTCAGCCCTGCTGCCCCCGCCCCCAGCCCCGCCGTACCCACGTCCTGCCGCTCGCGGGGCTCCGGCAGCGGCTTGTCCGGGGAGCCCCGGGGGAGCCG